CAGAATCAGCGAACTTCTTTGTATGGAGTCCGGTCAAACCCTGGTGGCAGCAATGTTTTTGTTTTTTTAATTAGAGGAGACTTACGCACGTAATCATTCCATATTTGGAATTCGCATTTCCTAATATGGTATGATGAAAATACCCCGTAAAATTACGACAGGCTGTAACTTAAGGCGTTACGATGACAGATGTATAATAATGCTATTTAATTGTACCATGGGTCATTAGCTTCATGATTGTGAACATAATAAAATAATGAACATTGTCATGCAATTTATGACCAATTTTGTCAAAATTATGACTAGGCTACCTTAAAGAACTGTCATATTTAAACAATATCCTGCCACTAGAGGAAGTCCTTCCCAATCCTTTCAAAAGCTAAAATCAAACTTTAAATATGTCATTGTTATTTTCACTGGTGTTTAATTTCACTATTTTGATGTTATGAGCAATTTCACTGGACTTGGCAGGAAAACAATGAGTTCAAATGTTACTTTACATGTTCACATGGATATAATTTAGCGAATTTTACATATCCAGCAATGGCGAAATTAAAAAGTATAAACAAGTCATTGTCAATGACACGTCCCCGTTCCGTTCATATTTGAGTGACATATACATTCAAAGCAGATCATGACCGAAATCTCAGACCACTTTCAGTGGTCTGATCCAAAATGCACCTGCATATGTACAACACATTGTATGATGTGTGTGAAGTGTGGTCTTGATCGGCTGGCCCAAATGCACAGGCATATGTATGATATAATGTATGATGTGTATGTGAAGTTTGAACTTGATCTGTCCAGGCATGTCCGAGATATGGATCGAAAACTAAATTCTTTAAAACAAAATGGCCACCAGTCGGCCATTTTGAACTTGATCCGGAGAAAAATTGGTGTGCATCAAGCTTATATTATGTTTAATATATGCACTAAATCTGAACAAAATCCATCCATGCATGACTGAGATCCTGTTCCGGAATTATGAAAATACGTGATTTTGATGCATTTTCGACCTTAAAATGGCCATCATTCAGCTATTGTTAAGCGGATCATGAAACAAATGCACATACATATTTGTGACATGATGTACCTTGTGTGTGTGAAGTTTGAACTCGATTAATCCAGGCATGTCTCAGATACGGATCCAGAACTGAATTCTTTAAAACAAAATGGCCACCAGTCGGCCATTTCAAACCCGATCCAAAAAAAAAATGACGTGCATCAAGGTCCTATTATGTTTAATGTATGTACCAAATTTGAACAAAATCCGTCGATGCATAACTGAGATCCTTAAAATGGCCGCTATTCGGCTATCGTTAATCGGATCATGAAAAAAATACATGTGCATATGTCCCATATAATGTGTGATGTATGAGTGAAGTTTGAACTTAATCGGTCCATGCATGTTCGAGATACAGGTGATCACGGACGCACGGACGCACACAGGGCAAACCATAAGTCCTCGTTTTCGGACTACGTCCGAACGGGGACTAATAATTAATACATTATTTTGTATAAAAAGGATAAACACAACAACCAAAGCTAACATCAAGGTGCATATAAAGACCTAAAACTGTGTACAGTATACATACCTATTGTGTATATAAGAATAAACACAGATAATACAACTAAAGCTAATAACAAGGGCAGTATGATTGCTGCTGTGTTTGGTCTCCATTTTTCCTCAACTGTGAAATGAAACAGAATATTTCTGGTATTATTAATCATTGCTTACATTGCTACTGTATGGTAACTCGTCTACACCCATCAGGAATATACCACTACAGGAGTAGGGCGAGAGGGACTCAAATTTGAAACTGTTACTTACTATGAAAGGTTATTAAATTCTACCATTATGGTAGTCTTTTTTTTTTTAGTAGTTAACCGCCAAATTTTTGGTAAAACAATTATTCTATCGTACAGAAAATTGCCACATTTAGATTCAGGGTCATTTCACACCGAGAACCAATGATTGGTTTATCTGGTTTTCTAAAACTATCATCACAGTCCACAAAATGAGTCAATACAACTACACTGATACTGACAATATTCAAAAAGTTGACCTAGCAGAGTACTCCCTTTAAATATGTCAGTCAACCATTTCCTAACCCGACTTATTTTCACTACAATTCCACTCACAGATTTACTGGTAGTTACATTATCACAAGCATCCCATTCTTTGCAAAACTATTATGTCTTGATACAAATTATAAATGTGGTGTGTAACCTATAATTCTACAATCAAATACCTTCACTTCCAATTATTGGTTTATAGGTAGTATAGGTAGTACCAGTTTCTAGATGACAAATATTTAATTTGGCTCTAAAGAAATGATTTGAATCATCACCAACAAAACTGTTTATTATTGACTATGACACTCAAAAAATAATACAAGACACACTTTAAATGATTTTACTTTTATTTCAAGTCAAATACTGAAAACAATACATACTGGTCCTTGGTCTCGCTTTATTGTCTCTCACTCAAAGCTTTGCATCATCTCTGTAATTATTTGTTTGTTTGTTTGTTTGTTTGTTTATATATAAATAAGACTTGTGACTAAGAAAACATTTCAAATTTTGTTTTGAAAATCAGAATAAATAAAACATTGTGGCTTTGTTTTACACATTAGTAATAGTTGAATAAATGATAGAACTGAAAGTGAATAAAACAAAGTGGTGTTCACAAAATATTCATAGAATTACATGTAAAAGAAAAATCGCTTCTATTCACAAGAACAAGTACATTTAAAAGCATCTAGTTTTGTTTTCCTAAATTCTGTTGTATAGGGGAAATGTAATATTTGTTATATTTATGTGTGACTTTTACTATTTACAATATTTTATTATTTGTGTTGTATAATATTTGAAGCTGTGGTCTTTAGAAAAAAATAATTTAACTCTGAGTGTACATACTTTTTGTTCCCCCATAATATGAAAAGTTTTGAGATAGTAAGAAAAATTAAATCATTGAATTAGTTCAACTTTGTTTCTAAAAGCATATCTAAGTAACATGCAAAATATTTTAAATAATTTATTCACACATAAACATAACAATTTTACGTAAAAAAAAAAGCAGACAGTGAGATTGAGAAATAAAAGGACTAATCCAGTGAGTCTCTCAAACGATCGGTGTTCCCGCCTATATCGACATCACTATTCAAGGTTCCAAAGCTACCTTGCAGAGTTAATTCACCGGGAATAAACTGTGGTAGTTTGGCATCACTATTATCAACTGTCATGTCGTTGTTAAACATTAATTTAACCATTCCAATTCTATGAGTCATTTCATCGCTATTTGTCATCAACTGAGAATCGTTACTATATTGTAATATCTTATCAACACAGATAACAGTCTTCGATAACTGGTCTTCTGTAGTATTAAGTTTACCAATCTCAGATTTCATTTTTTCATCAAGCTGTAGGTACTCAGATTTTAACCTGCTTAAGACCAGCTCTTCTTTATCTTTAAGTTCTTGATAAAAGGCATCCATAGTTCTCTGGAAGTGTGTTTTCACAGACACCTGTTGCCTTGTGTATTCCTCTAATAAGGACCGAGAGTGCTCAATGGCAGATCGCTTCCTGTTCTGCATGTCAAGTTCCTTAGCTTTGACATCATGTAAACTTATTCTTGTCTTGATACGGAAGTCATTCGCAGCATCCTGTATGTCACTCAGATCATGATCGCGATGAATCAGAATTGCACATTTCGAACAGGACGAAATAGCACATGATCTACAATAGATGTCAGTTCGCTGATTGTGAGACGGACACCGTCCTATCGGTTGTGCAATGGAAGGGTCTCTTGTCAAACAGTCTATAAATTCCTCAGTTGAGAGCACTTGGTGATCAAACATGTCAGGTTTCATTTTGTGCGATGCCGCGCATAACGCACACAGATCTATTGTACAGTCAATGCACCTGTTCATTACACAATTTTTGAAACATACTCGACAAATTTCCCCAGAAACTTGTTTTTCCTGTTCATCTATTAGGTCCACAAGACGGTTAACAAACGTACTTGAAGGGAGTTCGTCGATACTTCCAGAAGGGATGTCGTACATTTGCTGACAACTTGGACACTGTAAACGCCAATCCTGGGAATCCAGTAGATCACACAAACACTGCTTGCAGAAAGAATGTTGACACGGCAGAATTTTAGCCTTGATATAGCGGTCTAGACAGATGACACACGTCAGGCAATTCTCATTAATCTCTTGACTCGTTGCTGCCATGGTCTTAAATCATGTGTTTACAGGTCCATCCAGTGTCATGACTAATGAAGTAATAAATCAAAAACTTTGTGTTTTGCATAATACAGGATTATACATGCTAGGCAACAATTTAACCGTTACCCTGAACAAAGGACCCCAGGTCGGTCCACTGATGGTCTTATCACAAATATGTCTGAAAAAAAAAATCCGCAAGAAAAAAAGGAACCAATTTTGTTCCCAGCAAAGGAATTAACTGTCCTACTTTGCATATGAAATACAGTTAATTTAATTTAGTAGCGTGTTGTAAATTCCTACCAAATTGAGTGACCGTCAAGTTTTTAGAACACACCTTCTATTGTAATTGACAGAGCCTAGTATTTGACACAAGTTACACAATACATCTATTGTATTTAAGGTCAGAATAGGTTAATCCATTCCTGGGATAGGGTACATAGGATCACTGCTAGTGATGGGTCACTTTAACCAAGCGTTATTATATCAAAAATGAAGTCACATTTTTTCATTATAATTTTAATTATTTATAATTTTTTTTAATTAAGTGAATAATTGCGAGCTCGGCCACCAACTAAAATGCAAGTGCCAATACACGCTCCTCCCCTGTGAAAAATGGAATGATCTATAGTTGATAAACGTTTTGTATTAATTGAGCTCCCCTTGCAGGCGTAGTCATGATGCACAGCGTAAAATGTTAAAAGTAGGATTTAAGAGAGTACCTCCTATTGTGTATTTTCTACAATGGGCTTCGTCACAATAGTACTAAAAGCACTCCTATGTGTTCTCTATAGGATGGTTAGGATTTCATGGAGTGTGCACAGACAACACCCTACTATGCTGTATATCTAAGCTGTATCAATCCACTTCTTAAATAGTTTAACCTCTCAACACTATCAGAGATCAATGTCTGTATTTAGTTTTTGAATTCTCTGTTCACACTCTGAATAACCCCATAACCTATACATCTTCCAATAATTTAAAGCTACACTGCATTAAAGATACAGGTCGGCACCGATCCTAACACATATTGCGCAAGAAGTGTCTGGAGTTTATTCAAAACGTGGAGATATAATAATCTTTTTTGGTATTTCTGCTGCTCGTTTCATAATCGGAGTGTGTTCTATACATGATTTTATTGCATTCAAGGATGTACTATTTCAGGCTAAACATGAAAATTATGTTGGAATTAAACTTCAAACACAAATTTTATTAGCTTTATTATGTGTGAGTTTCTACATTAAATGGCAGTGATTATTTTTTATCATGTGCCTATACTGGCATTATGGCAATTCAATGTGCTAACTAGGCCCTGTTTTACACAAGCACCTGTGGAATTTATCTAAGGTCCCCCAAAGCGGCATCCGTTAGTGAATGATTCTGAGCCAGTGGTTTTTGTTTTGAAACTTTTGGTGTACAACTGTAACCAGGATTTGAACTACAGTCTACTGATCACGAGTCTGACCCAACAGTCACAGTGCTACCAGTGATGGTCTCACCACACGCTGTATGCGGTTTATTTAAACCCAATATAAATAAAGATTGTTTATGGTCATAACAGCAATTTATCATTCCCCAAAAGTCAAAATTATGACATACTTTTAACAATTATAAATTCACTAGCTTGCCTAGTTGTTAGTACTGGTAGATTTTGTATACAATGTAGCTATAGTCCCTATAAATATGTAAGCAGTCTCTCGGCTGAAATAGCTCCGCTGTTAGCAATTAATGTACATTTCAATTACAGAATTGAAGATATCATCACAGAATAAACAAATCTGAGATTGGTCCACCTGTAGTGCCTTTATGTATAATATCAAATTTGCGTTTTTCAACAAGTGGAAAATATCTCTTTTTACCAAAAAGGACAAAAATAATCAAGCTCACTTAGTTCCATACATGACTAGTTACTGCCATCGTAATTATATTTTGAATTCTCATCTTTATACTATGATATGTCTCACAATCAGCATATTTATAATGCAAACCAAACACGCCTAGTAGTTCATATACATGTAGAGCAAACAACAGTTTGTATTGAACCACAAAATAATTAATTTAGAATATTTAAGTGTTGTTATGGAGAAATTTCAGGGATTACTTAAAACAAAATATCCAAAATATGCCAATATATTAATACACTTTTATTCAACTGAATGTCCTGAAGTGTCCAGGTTTCAAGTCCAGTTTTATTTTAGTTCATTGTATTATTATTGTTAACTGAAAAGTGCACAAAAAATTGTGTTATTAAGAACAAATAATATTTTATTGGATTTTTTTTCTTTAACAAAAAAATTTAGTTTAAAAAAAATCAAGCTTTTTTTTCAATATATATAATTTTTGAGTCATTGAAAAATTATCCACACAATATAAAGTGTAAAATTTTAATACGAAAAAGTAAACAAATACATCATATAAAAAACTACATTATGAAGAAGTCAATACTCACTATAACAACTAAACAAACTTTAAATACATTTAGCAAACAAGAGCTAATAGTGTTATGATTGTTGCACAGAACCAAAGATTATGTTTCACAAAATGTACATTCCTTGCACATTACCTTACACTCAAATAATGATGCTAAAAAGTTCTGGAATATTGTAACAATCTGAGACAACACCTGAAATTCAGATGTGGTGGATTGTTGTATATTGTGGTAAACCCAATCACGGGATTGTGATGAGACATGCCTCACAGATTATAGCATCTTTCCTACTAATGAAATTGCACCAAGGACATTGTTTGCCGGAGAACCCTGTGGTAATGATATCACAGTTCTTCTGCTCAGTGTGGGATTTTTGTTTCACTGACGGGATGACTGAGGAGGATGTCATCCAGGAAATAGCTTCTAGTTTCGCTGCTTTTCTTGAATCTTCCGTGCGTAGTAAAGGTGGGGTTCTAATTCCTACCCTGGTTGTTGAGAATTGACTGGAACATGTAGCGGCATTACCTGCTGATGCTACCGCTAGTCCACCAAGGTGATGTTCTATTGTTTCCACGATGCCATTGATGTTGGAACTCGATGGTAGACACGAAACACCACCAGTGGGTACGTCACATGGAGCTCTACAAGTTGGACAATGCAGACTTCCTTGTACACGATGGTAGTAGTTTGACAGACACTGCACACAGAATGAGTGATGACAGGGGAGAATTTTAGCATCTTTGTATCGCTCAAGACAAGTAACACACGTTAGATACATGTCGTCAATCTGATTAACCACTATAGTCGAATCCATGTTCAATATTTACGATGTACTACAGCCTTAAAGGGTTCATATGCAGAAACATTAAGATGGTAAACTTTAAATGAAGTGACCTTTCACCTCAAAAAACACTAGGAATCTAGTAACAAGTAATGTATGTAGAGGAACTTAATAAGTGACTGATTAAAGCTCAAAGTTCAATT